ACTTTTCTATAAAATTATTTTGATTGGAGAACCCCCTTAAGACAAAAGTCCACCAAATCCAGCACTAGTAGAAGCAGCCAAGGAGGGAGACCCGAACGACAGGTATTCTGCATCATAGTACAAATGAACCAAATTATATAAATACCTTCATTTGTTAAAAAAATAATGTACCAGATGCCTATATTTAGAGTAAGCATTTCACAATCCTGTACAGGAGACTTAACAGTGCAAATAATCTACTGAATATTAGATTGTCTAACTTTTATTTGTGAATTTTGGCCATTGTTCAATCCTGCCTTTACTGAAAATACCTTTAATTGCTGTATGAAAATAATTTAGATTGGGTCAAATGAAGAACAGAATATAGCAATATTGTCCAGTTCTATTACATCCTTGGGATCAAAGATATTACTTTGGGTGCTAATATTAAATCAAATTAAACAGAGTGGGAGAAAAACAAGAGCTGCAATATAAGTAAAATATTTATATAATTAACTGGAGCTGAGGCTCAGCCGTTGTGGCACAGAAGGAGGCCAGGGCTTCCCCTTCTTGTTCCTAAGAAGCTAGGAGTCAATGTCAAACATCAGGAAGGAGGAAGCAAATAACAGATAACAGAGTTGGAAGGGACCTTGGAGGTCTTCTGGTCCAACCCCCTGCTCGAGCAGGAGACCGTATACCATTTCAGACAAATGGTTGTCCAATTTGTTCTTAAAAACTTCCAGTGATGGAGTACCCACAACTTCTGGAGGTAAGTCATTTCACTGATTGTTTTCACTATCAGGAAATTTCTCCTTAGTTCTTGGTTGCTTTTCTCCTGGATTAGTTTCCATCCATCACTTCTTGTCCCACCTTCAGGTGCTTTGGAGAATAGATTGGACCCCTCTTCTTTATGACAACCCCTCAAATATTGGAACACTGCTATCATGTCACCCCCTAGTCCAGTGTTTCTCAACCTTGACAATTTTAAGGCATGTGGACTTCAACTCCCAGAATTCCACAGCCAGCATTGCTGGCTGTGGAATTCTGGGAGTTGAAGTCCACATGCCTTAAAATTGTCAAGGTTGAGAAACACTGCCCTAGTCCTTCTTTTCGCTAGACTAGACATACCCAATTCCTGCAACCGTTCTTCATATACGTTTTAGCCTCCAGCCCCCTAATCATCTTTACTGTCTCACTTTAACACAGGGGTCTCCAACCTTGGCAACTGTAAGACTCGTGGACTTCAAATTCCCCAGCTGGGGAATTCTGGGAGTTGAAGTCCACAAGTCTTAAAAGTTGCCAAGGTTGGAGACCTGCACTGCTTAACCGTGAATCCGGACCGTTCCGAAGCTTGCAGAGACACGGGCCCGGCTGCCCGCCCGCTGCAGCGCCTCTCTTCTCCCCACCTGGCGCCCAGCGAGTTCGACAAGTGCTGGCTGACCGTCAGGGTGATGCGCTGCAGCTGACACACGTAGCGGCCCACGCCGTTCCGCAGGACACTGGCCAAGAAGCGGCTCGGGGTACCCCGGCCGGTCATCGTCGGTGGCAACGCAACGCGCACCGGAACTCAGAAGCGGAACAGGAAGTGAAGCAGGAAGCAACAGGGAGTTGACGCCTGTCTAGCATATAGTCTCTCTGTCTCTCTCTCTATTTTTGTGCCAGTCGAACGGCAATTGTTTTTAAAGCCTCCTCCTCCTCCTTTTCTGCGAGATAATAACTCGCTAGAAATGTAGAGAAATTCCAGGTTTTTCCGTCGCAGAAGTTGCCTGGTATGTTGCTTCCAGTTTATTCTCGCAAGACAGAAGAGAATTATTGGGGTATCAGCATCTATTTTAAAATTGCAATGTAGACATAGTTTGCACGATGCATAGTTTGTATAATGCACAAACAGAAATCGCCAGGAAGGGTTTGCATGTGTGGCTGAGGTTAGGTTATGACGGTCTTAATAAGGCTGCAACAATGTCCAGCCACCAACAGCTCTAACTCTTTGTTGCGGCCCCCGAATTCCTGCAATTTGGGCCTGAAAGTCAAAAAAACGCTCTTGCAACAAGACGAGCAGGCGAGGGGCGTACTAATCTCTGTGTGTTCCGCCGAGCCGGTCGTTTGTTTCCGGGTTGGTTCCTGTCCCCGCCTCTCTGGGAAGTGCTGGTTTTGAAGGAAGGCCATGGCGCGCTTTCTGGAACTGCACGTGTGGAGCCGCTACCCTGATGCGGAGCTAGACGCGGGGGCCAAGCTGTGCGGTCAGGCTGCGGCCGGAGGGGAGGCCTTCTAACAGGACAGACAGCGCTGGCTGGAGAGAGGCGGGCGGTCTGGATGCGGGCAGCTTCACCGCAAGCTGGAAGGAGGGCAGCGGCGGCGGCATAGAAGGCTCTTAAGGGGAGGTGCAATTTAGGAAAGGCAGGCTCTGGCTTCTCGGAGGGTGGAAAGCGTTTCTTAAGGAGAAAAAAAGGCTTTCCACGGGGCGGCAGTCGGGGCACTGAGGAGACCGCATTGCAGGGTCGTAGAGCGAGGAGGTCCCGGGGTGATCCCATGGAGGGGCGTTGCAGACACGGGTAAAATGTTCTCTGTGACGTCCCGGGTTCTCTTGCGTCACCGGTGCCTTCCACGTAAGTGGATGCTTGTTGGAAGCGCTCCTTGTCAGCACTACAAAAAGGAAAAGCTTCCGCCCGTGCAGGACCCGATTCCTCCTGCCTCGGTCACGGAGATCCGGCAGTACCTCAAAACGCAGAAAATCCCATTTCACGATGGCTACAGTTGCATTCACGTGCCCAGTATTTTTGTGAAGGATAAACAGCAGCTTCGCCATAATTACAGCCTCTTTATTGATAAGACCACCGGCCAGTTTATCTGCACGGCCACCCTGGTCGAAGGGAATTGGCAAGATTTCCAGGCCAACGTAGAGCTGCAGGATAAAGGGCTAACTTTAAGTGATAGGCGCAGTATTAATGAGCAAAATGACCAAAGTGGGGAGGATGCTAGGCATATATGGGACCGAGCCTTGCCTCTTTGGGAATTGCTGGATGAACAGGAGACAAAAGAAGTCAAGGCTACGTTTGGCATTTCCAATGTGTCAAATATCACCCTCAAACACTTTGGGGTGCGTTTTCTTCGGACCGCTCAAGCATTGGTCTTCCCATGGTTCAGTCCTTCTGGCACCAGCTTGAAGGGATTAAAACTTCTCAGAGCTGAGCACCAAGGAGACAGAGTACACCATGTAGAGAATATGTTGCCTCGTCCGAATGCCTATCATAATCTCTTTGGTTTGCCTCTGATCAGTCGGCGTGATACAGAAGTGGTATTGACTGGCCGAGAGTTGGATGCTTTGGTGTTGCATCAAGTCACTGGTTTACCCATCCTGGCTTTGCCTCGTGGGATTTCTTGTCTTCCCCCAGCCTTACTTCCCTACTTAGAACAGTTTAAAAGGATTACTTTATGGTTAGGAGAGGATCTCCGGTCCTGGGAATCTGCTAAACATTTTGCACGTAAGCTGAATCCTAAACGTTGTTATTTGGTGCGGCCAAGTGACCAGCAGCGTCGACCTTTAGAAGCTTTTAGCAGTGGTATGAACCTTACCAAGATTCTACGCTCAGCTCTTCCAGCTGGCCACAAGTCTATAATTTCATTTTGTCAACTGCGAGAAGAGGTGTATGGGGAGCTGGTCAATGTAGATCAAGTGGCTGGAGTCAAATGGGCTCGTTTCCCAGAACTGAGCAAACTTCTCAAAGGCCACCGCAAAGGAGAGCTCACTGTTTTCACAGGTGAGTATATATTTTATTTACTTATGTATTTATGTCCTGCTTTTATTATTTTTATAAATAACTCAAGGCAGCAATATATTGCTTTTTTCCTTTCATCCTTCCTCCAACAGCATATGTAATCATTAAAATATTTGCTGCAATGTTCTTGAGCTGTTTGTCAGATTTTGGCTTACTTGTCAGATATAGCATATGATCTGAAAACCAGTTTCTCGTGGTTTTCTGCTCCCATACAATATTTTTGTCTGAAGAAGAACAATTTACTCAATAAAGTGATTATTACTAGAAACAAAAGGGAGGAGGCATTGGAGATGTCTAAAATACATTTATTTTCTGTGCTCCTTTTTCTTAAGTTAAATTGTGCATGTTTCCAATTGAAGGGTCCTTGGTGTTCTCTGAGCTTGTTTGTTTTCTGCAGACGGTTCATTACCCTAACTAGGTAACATCAGTGCTAAGGTACTAAGGAGTGCTATTTGCTGTCAGTTTATATTTTGGTGCCTTGCCTGTCTGTGTGGGTGGGGGCGATCTTAGGGATTTTTTGGTTGAGCTGTTTACTAATGGCTCTTTGGCAGTTACTTGATGGTTGGTCTGAAGTTGACCTTAGAGTTAATCTATGCTGATCTGAGTGCTGATTACTGCTGAAGAGGTGCTGGAGACTTTTTCTTTTGGGGGCTGGTTGATCAACTCTTTTGCATAGTCTGTAGATGTTGTTAATGTCTATGTGTCTATTGATGGCTGATTTGTCAGAGTGCCAGGCTTCTAGAAATTCCCTGGCATTTTTGGATTTGGCCAAGTCTAGGATTGTCACATTTTTCCCAATTGAAACTATGGTTAAATCTGCCTATATGTTGTGAAATTAAAGAATTTTTGTCATGCCTTTTGACTGCCAGTTGGTGTTCATGGATGCGTTCTGCCAGACTTGTCCCTGCATGTTTCCAATTCTGGCAAAAGTGAAGATGAAAGTAAATGAAATTCTGACTTACTGCAATTCTGTGATTCTGTATACACTGTTCAACAAAAGTGATCTATGGGAGATTTGATCTATATCTGCAAGCATGATTTTTATCACATTACTAAATAGTGGTCTAATCATCATGTTGTAATGGGTAAGTGGGATGTTACATTCAGTGGGAAAAATATTGTCTTGTGACATAGTTCCCCATTTGCATTTCTTAACCACAGAGAACCTACAGAGTAGCCAATGCAGCTACCCATCAAAGGAAAGGGCATGTCAGTTTGTTCCAGGTGAAATCAAATTCTACCTAAGTTGGATCAAACTGCCTTTCTTACTAATTGTGCCTTTGTCTTTCTGGATCAGGTCCAACAGGCAGTGGGAAGACCACTTTCATAAGTGAATATGCCCTGGATCTCTGCATGCAAGGGGTTAATACATTATGGGGCAGCTTTGAGATCCACAATGTGCGTTTGGCCAAGATCATGCTTACTCAATTTGCCATGGAAAAACTGGATGAACAACTGGAAAAATATGATGAGTGGGCAGACAAATTTGAGGATCTTCCACTTCACTTCATGACCTTCTACGGACAACAGAACATCAAGTAAAATTTGTGGTAGCAGATTATTGCTTTTTTTATGAGACAGTAGAAGTGAAACAGTGCTATAATTAATGTAATGCTGAGTTTGCAGTTTTAATTATGTTTAATTAGCAGGAAATAGCCATAATTCCCAAAGAAATACAGTGGTACCTGGCTACTCATTGTTAATTGGTTTTGGGAGGCGCAACGAGTACTAAAAATAACGAGTGCCAAGCAAACATGTGACCCTTTATTTTTGCTGGGAAGGACTTCCTGTCTGTTCCTTTTCCTATGTCACTGACCTGTTCATTATGGCCAACTTTCTGTCCATTTCCCCCCTTTTCCTATCACAGCATGTTGAATATCAAACAATGAATACTGGGACAACATTTTTGCATCAAATGTGTCGAGTACCAAATTTGATGAATTTTGAAGCAATCGAGTACCGAAGTACTACTGTATACATATCCTTGAAAAAAATATGTTGCAATATTTGGTAGTAAGGCCAAAGTAAGACTAAATTAACTAGCTCTATGTAATGTTTGTTGGTCTGGAAATTGCATCCCCTTACTTTGCTAAATCATCATTATGTCCTCATTTTGGATAAGACAGTATGATAGAAAATCCACAGATCATTCTAGTACAGATTCAGTGGTAAGTGTTACAAAGCACCCTTTGCCTAGCAAATATTGAGATTGGTCTCAAATTATATAGTGAGTACACTATTTTACATTAGGGCAGTGGTTCTCAACCTTTTTAATGCCGCGACCCCAACCGGTTGTAAGTCGAGGACTAAACCGGTCGTAAGTCGAGGACTAAACCGGTCGTAAGTCGAGGACTAAACCGGTTGTAAGTTGAAGACTACCCAACCGGTCGTAAGTCGAGGACTTTCCCTGCCTGGGAGCGCCGCGCATGCATGGTTCTGCCCCCTGTGCTGGCCG